CCCCCACTCACTCATGCCAGACCCTCTCCATACACAGAGCTGCCTCGCACACGCAGCTGCACCACTTATTCCATGTTTCCCTTTTCTCACTCCGTTCTGTGCTCTTCTTCACAGAGTGCGAAGTACTCCTTTGAAGCAGTCTCCAGGTTACCAGGTAGACTTGGTGGTCCAGTCAGTGTGGGTGAGTGGAGAGCCCCCTCAGCCAATCACCAGTCTGGCTCTGAGTTCCTCCTACAGCCTGTAAGTGAACGCGCTCTCAGTCGAGCTTTGAGTCGACTGAAAGTGCTTTTCTGGAAATTATAGCACTAGAATCTAACTTTTTTTCACCGTTTCTTAAACACGAAACTGATTACTGTTTTTATTGAATAATTTTAAAAAATATTCTAATTAAACACTGTTTAATGCCAACTTTAATGCCAGAATTTTAAAGGGGACTTTAAATCCACTTTGTTAGCCATTAAATGCGTTTTGTTGTGGTCTTAGAGTCTCTAGGAGGCAGAAAATTTAAATTTAGTCTCTCCTGGTGCTTCAGAGATATCTTTATATTCTGTTTGGGTCAGATTTTTCAACCTGTTCAGTTTTATTTATTTTCTATAATGTTTTTTGAACTATGACATCACAGTAGTTGAGACTGAACCGCTGAATAAGGTCTGGCTTACCAACTAATCAGTTTTATTGTCTTTATTCTGCTCTGACTGTGCTCTGGTGGTGCACAGAACTGTACTTTGTTTTTGTTTTTTAATGGAGCCGATTTTTTTATTAATATGTTATAAAGTTAGTCAATTAAATTGTTCTTAATAATTTAGCTTGAAAACGTACTAAAAAGCACGAAAGAAAAAAAAAACATTCCTTGTATTTCCAGTCTCCATGATATCACGGAGATTACTGCAAACTACTAGTAGTTAGGTTCGATGACATAATCTGGAAAAGACTGAGTCCACAAACTGTGTAACGCAACTTTGAGCAGCAGGTGAAACAGTTTTTATCTGTACTTGCATCCTGTTTTATTAACGTATTTCTCTCTCTCTTTGCTTTTTGGGCTCCCTGTCATYCTGTCATGAACTCACAGAGTGGTGTTTGGCAACAGTAACGGTCTGGCTGTGGTGGACTACGTCCAGAAGACAGTGGTGCTCAATTTAGGAACGGTTGAGCTTTACGGCTCCAACGACCCCTATCAGAGACAGCCTCGGTCGCCGAGGAAAACACGGCAGCCTTCAGGAGGTAAAGTTTCCTTATCATCATTTGTGGCTTTCAAATGTTTCCGCACTGAACATGCAATTTCATTTAAACGTCATAGTAATATTACACATATACAAGCTGAAAAAGACAAAACAAACTGGTCAATTGTAGTGTTTTAAACTAAAAGGCCAAATGAGAGTGAAAAGTGTGCAGCTTGTATCAGTTGTTAAATGTCATCTTCTTAGYTGTGATCAAACAGTGAATTTCCAAAGAATTTAATTCTCATTCTGTCAAGCTTAGGCCTAGATAACATGTGCCAAACACAAGGCCCGTGGGCCAAATGTGGCCCGCCGGTGACTCCCGTGTGGCCCACCGGGGTGTGTGTGTGTGTGTG